TTGTTAGAATACCCATTATCGTTACAGATTTGATTATTGGAATACAACACTTCCTTCCGATTAAGATTATTGCAGTTCAAACCGCCTCCTGAGACGGTCTCGGGCAGGCAGGCAGCAGGCTCACCCAGCAATAAAGTTTCTATTTGCACTGCCACATAAACATATGTTAAAAGAGAATTACATTCAGACACGAGATTTGTCACTTAATTACTCAGATCTCTTATTTAAAATGTTACATACAGATCTTCTGAAGTTTGTATGCACATAACACTAAGATCTCTACCGTCAAATGTTAGTTATTATATTGGTTAGTAAATTACATTCAGACTCTCTAAAATTTATAAACATATAATACTTAAATTTATCAAGTTTAAAATGTTATAGTTAGACTAAAAATATTCTAATTAAAGATAAATATCAAGTATTTTAAATTTTACATCCAAATTCATGATCTATTGTATCATTTATTAAAATAAAATCAAAAATAAAATTTTAATTTTTTTTTAAAAAATTATAATTAATATACAATTATACTATCTATTGGAATAAAATTAAAAAAATCAAACAAGGAGTCTAAATCATTAATAATAGAATTAGGGGTAACTCATGCTTAAAGGTACGGTGCAATATAAATCAATCGATTAATTTGGAAAAGTGAGTAGTGAAGATCTGCAATATAAACTAATCGATTAATTTGGAGAAGTGAGCAGTAAAGATCCTTGAGAAGAACAGTAACAGAGTTAAAAATATGATCTAGAGTGTAGACATTTTAAGTATAATAGATAAAAATAATGTGATATATTTATACTTTTTATATCGGATTTGACACTTTAAAATTCATCAAGCAAAAAAAGAGTTTGTTTAAAAAAAATTAATAAGATAACATCTATAAATAAAAGGGATCAATTATATAATTTATTTGATATAAAAGCAATATTCTATAATTTTTAATTTTCTTACAAATTCTATATTTTATTTATTTTTTGCTATATATTCCATAATTTTTGAACCAAGTGAGGCGCTAACAAATCATACTAATACTCTAAAGAATCAATTTTAGTTTGCTAATTTTAAGAGATTTAGTATGAACTTTTTGTTTTTATTTTTATTTTTTTTGTTCTAGTACCCAATTCTATATTTTATTCATTTTTTGTTATATATTTCATAATTTTTGAACCAAATGAGGTTTTAAGAAATCATACTAATACTCTAAGGAATCAATTTTAGTTTGTTAATTTTAAAAGATTTAGTATGAACTTTTTATTTTTATTTTTTTGTTCTAATACCCAACTTATTTGACCCAATTAATACTATTGTGACATAATTTAGGGATTTAATATATTATGACAATTGGATTGATAGTGTTAGAAATTTAAAAGAAAAATTAGCAAAACTCTAGAGCTATTGTGGAGACTAAACAAATGTGTGGAATACCCTCTGAATGAATCGGCACCTAAATGGGATTTTGATTCCACAATAAAAAAAAAATAATAAATAACGACTAGGTCCACTGGAGCAAATGATAGTGAGGTTATTGCTAATGATTAAAGGTCATCATAGACAATTGATAAAAAAAAAATTGTCTATCCTACGGTGCACATTGTAAACGTAATCTTAAAAATTCATTAATGAGAAAAGAAAAATTAGGAAGGTTCTGATACAAATTTGAGAAGGTCTGGCTGAAAAATCGGTGTGCCACCCTATTTTAACGCGGGTTCTAAATGCTAAAAATTGGGGTACACTAGTACACATTTTTTTCTTTACTAATTGTTTGTTTAACTTTAGAGCCTTTAATGATTTAAGTATTATAGTATTTTCGGTTGAAAGATCTCATTCTGTAAAAGTTTGTCCGTCTTATTAGGGGAAGGTGCACCCAATTTGTTTGATTAGATTCTTTTAATTCCCAAATCAACCATCATCGATTTCATCGTTATTGAGATCTGAAGTTTTATTCTCTTACGTTTTCCAAATCAGTTTAACGAAATTTTAGTGGATTTTTCTTAGTGTGCATTGGTTTAAATGGGATAAAAATTAGAGAGTAGCCTAACGCTATTTTCTACATGGTCACTAAACAAAGTGTGAAATTTCTAGATCGTCACAATGGTTCCACTATGCTATAGTATAATCCTTTACTAGTTTTACTCTCAATTTTGATTACATTATAAAAAAGTTCAAAAGAAAAAAAAAAAAAAAAAAAAGAGAGAGACACACGCAATTCCAATAGCATTTTATAGATACATTTTGAGACTACTTGGACGAGTAATAGACGTTTGAATTGTAAAAAGATGTTATTAAGGCGGATGTAAGTTTATCTTAATTGAGTACGAATATTTCAGTAATACAATCTTAGAAATAAGTTTGAAAATCTTCTTAAAGAAAGTTCAAACCTAGAAGACGTCACATTCTACACTATCAATTCTTCTATATTTCGTCAAACATGTACAATCCAATTTTTTTCAATCAATAACCCTACTCTTTAAACTTTAATTCTTTTAAGATTACTTTAGCGACGAGGATAGAATTATATTAGAATACCCATTGATTTTTCTATCGTTACAGATTTGATTATTGGAATACAGCATTTGCTGCCAATTAAGATTATTGCAGTTCAAACCGCCTCCTGAGACGGTCTCGGGCAGGCAAGCAAGCTCACCCAGCAATAAAGTTTCCATTTGCACTGCCACAGAAACATATGTCAGGAGAATTTCATCGAGACCTCTTGAAGTTTGTCATTTAATCACTTAGATCTCTTGACATTTAAAATATTATACATAAATCTCCAAAAATCTATACACGCATAACATTTAGTTCTTTCAAGTTTAAAATGTTATACTTAAACCAAAAATATTTCAATTAAAGATAAAATATCAAATATTTTAAATTTTATAATCAAAATTCATGATTTATTGTATCATTTATTAAAATAAAATCAAAAATCAAAAATCAATTTTTTTTAAAAAAATCGCAATTAATATACAATTATACGATATATTTGAATAAAATCAAAAAAATCAAACAAGAGATCTAAATCATTCATAATAGAATACGAATTTTACAACTAAAATTCATGTTCTATTATGTCATTTATTGAAATATAATCAAAAATTAAAAATTAATTTTTTTCTTAAAAAATCATATTTAGTATACAATTATACTATCAATTGAAATAAAACTAAAAAAATCAAATAAGGGGTCAAAGTGTAATGGAAACAATATATTCTAACTTAATTGGAGTAATTTACTAGTTTAATTTGGTCGTTTAATTAAATTTCAATAGATAGTATAATTATATAGTAATTATAATTTTTTTTAAAAAAGTAGATTTTTTTTAAATTTTATTTTAATAAATGTCATCATATAACATAAATTATGGTCGTAAAATTTAAAATATTTCATATTTTATTTTTGATTGAACAATTTTTTGTCTAATTATAACATTTTAAACTTGAGAAATTTAAGTATTACATACTTACAAACTTTAAGAAGTCTGAATATAATTTACTAACTGACATAGAAGGGGACATTGATGACAATAGTTTAAGTGTTAGAGCATCTCCAAGAGGGCTATCTAAAATAGTTATTCAAAATATATTAAAATATTATATTATCTTTTTTAATTAACTACTTTTTCAAACTCACTCCAACAACGCTATCTATTTTAACTAACTACTTCAACTAACTTTAACTAATTTTCAATTATAAAATTTAAAATATTATTTAGTATGTCATGTCATTATCATATTGATGACATCACATGCTGACATATTACGCCACGTCATCAAAATTTTAAAATTTTAATTTTTATTAATAGCGGACATATTTACAACGGTCACGAACACTACTTTTTGCCATCAAAATATGACTTTTAGACAATCTCAATGCAGCAAACCTAATTAAACATAGTAGCATGTATATAAATGCATATAACATCCATCCCCTACATAGAAGTAACTAAGTTCTCCTAGTTCATAAAAATGATAAATGCATATAACAATTGATTTTCGTTTCTCTTTCGATCCCAACACTACTTTTGCCATGACTGCAATTTTCTTCTAAGCTGATTTTTATGACAACAAGCCATATTCAAGTGATTAGTGAAAAAAACAAAAGAAACAACCGGGGCCATAACAAACAAAGGAAAACATGGAAGTAGATATAGCATTTTGGTGTTAGTCAGAAATTGTGCCAGTGCATTGTTCTGGTAGCAGTGACCATTGTATGATGAATACCAATAACACAGTGTTGCTTATTATTCTCCTATTCCTCAAGAAAATATTGCAATGGATCAGCTTCATCAATAGCAGTCAGCTTCATCAATAGTAGTCAAGTAAATGGACATCAAGTAGTAAACACATTCTAGTTCATTTTTATCAATCATGATTTAAACTCTAAAGTCCAAAAAATATTTCCAACTGGAAAAGAGGTTAAGAGGCCAAATAGACTACAAACTATGAATACTTCAAACAATCTCCAAAGTCCAAAAACTATGAATCGTAAACAAATCCACAAACAAATGTATAAGATAAAATCCACAACAAACATACCAACCCATGAAAATAAATTACCCAAAAAACAAACCAATAATCTGTTTTTTCACTAAATAAATGAAGGGTTTGAAAGAGAGAAAGGGAGGGGCTTTTGAGTGGGGGTTTTGCGAAGGGAATAATCTTGGTAGCATTGTCAAGAAACAAAATAAATCTGATCTGTACCCATAAAGAAAGTTTGATTCAATTCAACATAAACATTCAATTCAATTGAAGAATTAAGGGTTTGAGAGAGAGAACGGGAGGGGCTTTCGGGTGGGGGTTTTGCGAGGGGATGTTGGGAGGGGCGAAGGGGGTTTTCGGTAGGGCTTTTGCAAGGAAAAGAGAAGCAGAGTTTAGAGAGGAGGGAAACCTAGCGAAGGTGTTGGCGACGGCTGGTTTTTCATTGGCAGTGGCCTGGCGTTGAGGTAGTGAGCCGTGTTGACAGAAAGGGAGAGAGATGTATTGTTGTGGCTTGTAACTTCGACTTCAATCGATGGAGAGGCAGAGAGAGACGAGAGTCACAGTAGCGGAGGAGGAGGAGGCGACGAGGGAGAGATTGGCACCAACAAAGGATTTACTGGCTAGCTACATCTATCCAGTGAAAATGAGGTTATCTATTTTACACAGCGGGATAGCTAATCTCTTGGAGCAATATTTTTGGATGAAGTTATCTAAAATAGCTAAAGGGGTGGGTTTAGCAAGCCTCTTGGAGATGCTCTTATATACATACTGTCGAGAGATTTAAATATAATTCTCCCCATATGTTATTTGGAGTCCCATAAACATCTTCATGGGCTTTGTTTAGTTGAGGATAACAACTATAACATAGCAAATCAGGGACTCAAACATTGAACAAAATAAGATCTCTCATTTGCCACAAATAAACTCTTAAGCCTTGACATTCATTTCAAGGAGCCAATTCAACACTACTTCAATCCCACTCAACAAAACTGTTTTCCCATATGGAATTCTTACCAGCCGAGAAACCAGAATTTCAAAAAAAAAAAAAAACACTATTTATCGACACAGTATAAAAGATCGCCCGATGCATACATAGCCATAGGTGTTAGAATTAGAACAGGCAATAAGCTGAGGATGTTGACATTTCAGTCCACTTCTCCATCTTCTAGCTTGCCGTCGTGCAATTCTGAGTCCACCTCCCGATTACTTGCACTGGTTGTGGTTGCATCCTTCAAGAATGAATGAGAACCTTGAATCTCCTCCTCAAATGAGTTGAAATGTCATTTGCATAAATGAGGAGCGATTTTTATCACCGCAGGGCATTCACAAAAGCCATCAATGAATCAACATCTCTCTTCTCCGAGGGATACTTAATGGGTCGCGAAGAGTGATTAGGGAAGAACAGTATAGTTGGGAAGCTACCAAGCTGCAATTCTTTCTGTGCAAAAGCCTTCTGCTCACCATCTGCCCTGAACTTTCCCACCTTCATACCTGTCCCTGCCAATTTCTCGGCCAATTCAACGTATGATCCTTCCATTGCCTGCCCAAAATTTACAAATGTTTGTTAGGATGATCCACAAATCAACGTTATTACTAATAATAACAGACAATGAGACCATTTTTGTTTGTTGTAATTGTTTACCTGGCAAAATTGGCACCAAGGTGCATACAGCACAACAAGCCAAGGCTCTCTTCGGTTCTGCAATTTCAACAAGTTCTCTACCCCGGGCCTACTCAAACTTACTATCTTCTCAGTGTCAAAAATATCAGCAACAGTGGCACTTCCATTAGCATGGACATCTCCATTTCCATTACCATTGAGTTGGGCTTCTTCCTTTAAATTTCCTTTGTGTAGGCCACATTCCTTAGCTTTGGCATCTTCCCACCACCACCTTCCTTCTCTCTCATGCTGCCCTGGTAGGACAGGCCGAGTGCACGGCTCACACCCAATTGAGATGTACCCTTGCGCGTGCAACGAATTCATGGGCACCTTCATGGTGCGGAGGAAGTTCCATACGTCTTTACCATCAACATTGGCCAATGGGTTCCACTTCACTAAGCTGCCAACCCCACCATCCATTCCCTCAAAAGCAGGATCCACCTGCACCACTGGAATTTCTGACCTCGTCCCAGGTGACTGATCTTTCCTTTGCCCGGTTATCCAGCCGCGTAACCCCTTAAGTGCCCTTCTCAGTGGTCTGACCTTTCTCACACGGCAGCACTCCTGATGACCATCTTCATAGAAAGAGAATAGTCCTTTGCTCCGTACTAAGGCCTGAACTTCAACAGCATCTGGGAACATATACTCGATCCGGATACCATAATGCTTCTCAACTTCATCGAAGAATTTATATGTTTCTGGATTAAGCCTACCGGTGTCTAGGCTAAAAACCCTAAATGGTCTTCCAGTTAATTGTGCATACTCGATCAAAGCAACATCTTCAGCACCACTGCATAGAAATAAATAATTATTCAGAAACAGATTTTAGAAAAGATGTGGGTAAAAACAAGCAATGTTCATGTGGGCCGTTTAAGTATTCAACACTAACATGTACTGAGAGGCCCCAAATTCTTAATAGAATCTACTACATAGTAATGAATTCTAGAGTATGGATTATGGGAAATTTATTTATAAGCTAATTCACTTGGAAATTAGTATATTCCCATGTCATCAACTTGGATTGCTTGATTACAACTCAAAAGGAAGGTTAAGTTTTATAATTTCAATAGCATTTCCAACAATTCAACCCATTTCTTCTATCTCTATATTCTTTCAATTATTTCATCACTTCCAAATAAAATATTTTCCATTTATTCCTCTGATTGGATAGATGAGAAAAGCAAAATTTTGTAACGGATTAGTACATCTCATTAGTAAGCCGGTTCGGGTTGATTTATCAGATTCTGATATTATTGATCGATTTGGACGTATATACAGAAATCTTTCTCATTATCATAGCGAATCCTAGAACAAGTGTTGTATCGAATAAGTATATACTTCAATTTTCTTTCAGCAACTAGTATGAAGTATCAATGTATCATCCATCCATCAAGTATCTCAAAAGTCTCTCTATAGCAACTCACCAACAATCTTTGATTAAGCCAAACTTTATTTTGAAATCGTCTGAGTAAAAGTGAATCACCAAGAAAGAATACCTGAAAGCAATAGCGATATCGTTCCCAAATTTCTCAAGAGCTTTATCGATGATCTCTAGAGGGGAACCATTTTCAAGCTCCTTAGCTAGTTTCCCATAATCTTCCACCTTTACTTTCTCCTCCACCACCACTGTAAATTCACCACAAGACAAGGGGGAACCGGTCAATTCACATCCTTCTAAATTCTGAACCTATTCACCACTCAAAAACTTTCAAAAAAGTTGTGGCAACCCAAAACAACCCATCATTAACTCATATCCACACATTCATAACATGTCAGTGTGTGTGTGCCTGTGAGAATGGGGGGGGGGGGGGGGAGAGAGAGAGAGCGAGCTTGCTTACGGTATCATTTCTGAAGTCATACTCCTCCAACATGGGATAGTTTAAAGCATTTGGCAAGCAACGCTGCTTCACATTTTCAACCTATCAATTCAAAGTTCNAAGGAACAATGGAGTCATTTCGTTTCGGCTCAGCATTCAATGGCTTCACCGCACACTTCCTCCTAGAAATATTCGCAGCCATTGATGGAAGATGAGACCTATTCAAAGGTTTAAATAAACCAAAATGTGAAGCTGCAAACAAAGTAAACAAAACCCAAAAACACCCGAATCAAAACCTGAAAACCCATGAATCAAACAAAATCGAATCTAAAAATAGCAATAATTCCCACAAAAAGACCATGAATATACCAGCGAATTCAACTGTAATTTAAGTACCTCTGGGTTGTTCATAGGAAGAGAAAGAACTTGAAACTGCTTGAGATGAAGTAAAAGCTAATGACGCCATTAGAGTTCTTCTGAAGCTTTTCTCTGTACCAAAAAAATTATGTGTTTGTTTGGGTGATTTTGCGTTTTGTTGTTTGAAAATTTTTCGCAGTGTTTGGGCTGAGAGAAAACAGCGGAAGATTAATATAGGAGAGGGGCCGGCCTTTAGGTACATTGAACCTGGACGGGTTTTGGGTTTGTAATAAACAACATGTGGTGTATGACATGGCGATCTGTTATTGGTTAAAGGCCAATTTCATAGCTCAGCACTTATGTCATGTGACGAGCCGAAGAGCCGTGGCAGAGAGAGACTACCTATTCATCACCTGTCAATAAGGTTCTTAGATGCTTCTTGGATCTTTCTTTTCATCCACATCTGTTTATAATTTCAATTTATTTCTTTTTCTTATTTCTTTATTTTTATTATAATATTTTTCATTTCACGTATTTTAAACTCCCAATTATATAAATTCAAAATATACATAATTGCTTATAATATCAATTACTTGAAGGATTATTAATATTATTTAGCTAATATTACACAGAACAAGTTGAAAACATAACAACTATCGAGATTAATCGAATTTTTTTAATAATGCATAATTCGTCAAAAGAAATTATTTTTTTTTAAAACATTTTGTCTACATGGCTCCTAATGTTAAACAATTCAACTAACACACTCTTTAATACTAGACAATTCGTCTAACTCATGTATACGGATGTCTTCTCTCTTCTTTCTCTATTATTTTTTTCTATGATTAATTTTTAATTTTGTAATTACAAAATGTCTTCAGATTTGAGTTGTTGGCACTATGTCATATCCAAGATAAGAAGAAATTTATTTTGTTATTCANTGTCTATGATTAATTTTTAATTTTTGTAATTACAAAATGTCTTCAGGTTTGAGTTGTTGGCACTATGTCATATCCAAGATAAGAAGAAATTTATTTTGTTATTCATACATGCAGGAAAGTTTTTTGGGAGTTAACNATTTTTTTTAATAATGCATAATTCATCAAAAGAAATTATTTTTTTTAAAAATATTTTGTCTACATTGCTCCTAATGTTAAACAATTCAACTAACACACTCTTTAATACTAGACAATTCGTCTAACTCATGTATACGGATGTCTTCTCTCTTCTTTCTCTATTATTTTTTTCTATGATTAATTTTTAATTTTGTAATTACAAAATGTCTTCAGATTTGAGTTGTTGGCACTATGTCATATCCAAGATAAGAAGAAATTTATTTTGTTATTCATACATGCAGGAAAGTTTTTTGGGAGTTAACTACATAGATGATCCCTAAATTATGGCATTTTTGTAGTATCAATTAAATTCATGAGCTAATTTTTGTGTTAATTTAGCTCATCAACTTTGAATTTGATTTCATGTGGCCCTTTGTCCAATTTCTTTGTCAACTTTGATAGAATGCCTCGTGTGTACATCACGTGTATGGTCTGAAGTATTCTAATCCTTAACTCATGTAATGTGTANAATTTGATTTCATGTGGCCCTTTTGTCCAATTTCTTAGTCAACTTTGATAGAATGCCTCGGGTGTACATCACGTGTATGGTCTGAAGTATTCTAATCCTTAACTCATGTAATGTGTACATGAGAATGTTTGTCAAAGTTAATAACAAATTTAAAAGAAAGGGTCACATTGAGTCAGATTTCATAGTTGNTACATGAGAATGTTTGTCAAAGTTAATAACAAATTTAAAAGAAAGGGTCACATTGAGTCAGATTTCATAGTTGATAAGTTAAATTAACACAAAAATTAGTTCTATGACTTAATTGACACAGATGACATAGTTTAAAGGTCATCTATGTAATTATCTATTTTTTGAAAATTAGAATATTGCAAGTTGAATTTCTTGATTTCGTGTAATTAATTTTTTGGCAAATGAAATTGAACGATTACATGAGTTTTCACTCCAAAAAATTGCTCGTATGATTAAAATTGATTGAGTGGACCACTTAGAGATATCCATGAGCCGGGTTACCCATGAATTTTGTTACTCGTCTAAAATAAGTACAAAATTTGATATACCCGATAGTTAATACATCCAACCTCGAGCCCAATATACTTCAAAAGAGGGCTTGGGGGCAACAGAGGGCTTGNATTTGATATACCCGATAGTTAATACATCCAACCTCGAGCCCAATATACTTCAAAAGAGGGCTTGGGGGCAACAGAGGGCTTGAGGTTGCCCCCAAACCTCTTTCCCAGTCCGAAGCCTGGCTCAATAGTCCGCTCGAAAAAAATCCATTAAAACCCAATCCAAGAGCCAGCCTACCCGCCAAGTCCAGCCCACCCACACAGCCCGCGTCACCCTTCATTTGAAAAAAAAAGTTATATTTTTAAACCATTAAATTTGAAACTTTGAAATAAATTTTNCACCCACACAGCCCGCGTCACCCTTCATTTGAAAAAAAAAGTTATATTTTTAAACCATTAAATTTGAAACTTTGAAATAAATTTTCCTATGTCAGAATTTGGAGTTTTAAAATTTTAAATACTATAAATAACATATTGTTTTCTTTTCCATGTATTAAACATACAAATTTTAAAGGATAGTGTAATGCAAATGATAAATAAGTGAGTAGTTATCAACTTAGTTAGGATGTATTCATTCTATTAGATATAGTTCATATCCTAATCAAAAATAAAATTATTCATTATTTTATTTTTGTCCATTTTAACTCTACTTTTGATTCAAAAATATAATTTATACAAATATTAAGTTATAAAAATATTCATTATTTGTAAATGAAGTTATATATAAAAAAAGCCCGCTCATAGGTCTGCCCAATAGACTCACAAGTTGGGCTGCAAATACCCTACTCTTACCCAAAGTTTGGTCCACCCCGCCCCGATAATTCACTTGGGTGAGGGTTTGAGCCTACAGTACTTAGTTCCGATCAAAAAAAATTTCACATGCCTA